CCAATCTATTCACATGGCTACGACTACACAGCCACATGCAGTTGCTTCCTAAATGTACTGGGGAACGAAATCTCTTGACAGAACTTTTGGAAGCGAGAACTGGATCTCAAGCCTCACTATTTGCCCCTGGCGATACAGGGTCGCCAGGAAGGTTCGTTGAACCTGCCAGGGAGCTTGCAAAACAAAAGCTTACTTACAAGCGCAACACATAGGATGTTTTGAGAGCTCTTTAGTGGATGTACATGCACTTGTACTCGAAGAAGCTCGCAAATTATGTTGCACCGTACGCGTTTTCAGGTATGGGTTTGGGTCTATTGTGTCTTTCGACAGGAGAAAAAGGGGGGGTCCTGAACTTTGTTGGACCTATGTGCGCAATCACAGCTGTTTCAGTGTTCGGGGTCGAATATGATTTGCAGACATGCTGCGGATGTACCAGTGCACTCAAAAATAAGAATAATGGCAATAAGAATAATCATTGTAGTAGCAAGAATACTAGTAAGAGTAACAATAGTGGAACAACAACGGAAGCTACTATAATATCTTCCTGGCTGCAGCCGTGATTGCATCTTTCGACGTACTTCCACATGTATCGTATCTACAAGTAGTGTACCTTGAGTCTTTGAGCGTCCCCACCCTGAAAATCAGTCCACACTTAACCATGCAGGTTTTGGGCACAATCTACCAGCCTCGGCAGATACTGGCTTGGGCCTAAACCTGAGCCCTTTACAGCCCCATTGCAGTAGTTTCCATTCTCTTTTCCATTATCCCAATATAACCCCAATAGAACCCCAAATAATCCAATATAACCCCAATACTTGTACAGTCCGGCGCTGCAAATAGTTGGGCATTGCAGGGCCATTGAGCACTTGGGCCTTCTGGGGGCACTCTGAGATGATGCACTGAAGTATGGGTTTATAGGGGTTATATGGGGTTTATAGGGATAATAAACTACTACTTAGGAATGCGGTTGTGGACCCAGGAAGATGAGTGACCAGGAACGTGTCTGCTGAGAATCGTACAATCCCACGGCGATCTCCAAATTGGACAATCCCACCCAGCCTAAACCCTAAACTAGAGAGCAACCAGACCCTTGGTTCAAGGTTTCCAGGACTCATAGATGTATGATACAATGGTCTGCTTGCCCACAGGTTGTTCTTCATGCTATAGAAAGCTAAAAGCAAAACAAGCCCTGAACCTAAACCCTAAACCCTAAACCCGTTCAGCCAATGAACTCGGAGTCCTGTAACACCATGTATGTGTCATGTACCCTTGGGGTCCAAATCACACAATGTAGGTAATGTTTACAGACTTTAAGGCCCAATGTAGGTAGCATTTGTCTGCTTGGATCCCCAGGGATAGATCTATCTATACATTTACATATAGATATTCATCTTTAGATGCATATAGACTTGCCAATCATAACGGGGGCCAAGGCCATCGTTACCGTTATTTGCATGGCCTAGGCAGACATATGCGTGTCGGCCACAGTGCCGGCTATACCACTAACTGAATTCGAAGCCTAAGTGCCATATAGCCTACACCTTGAGCGTGCGCGTGAGGCCAAAAACCGCATAACAAAGCTTTGAGCCCTCATCCGAAGCCGTTCCTGTGGACCTTCTACGTACTTTTGAGCTCCAGCCCATACCCCTAAACTGCCCTAGACCCTAAACCCCCTCATTTTCCTAAACCCCTGTAAAATGGCCCCCCAAATGCCCTTCAACCTAAAGCCCTGAAGCCTAAACACTACATTTTAGTTGGAGGTTCCCAAGGGCTTCGTAGGTCTTCGTAGGTCTTCGTAAGTATGATTATAGTCTCCCTTCAGTAGATAGAATATGGCTTTGGGTATAGTATAATATGATCCCCATATGCCCCATATTCTATCTACTTAAGGGGACTTTCTACCCGCTATGAACCAGAGAGTAATCCCAGATGCTCCTGCTTTTGACCCACTTACCAGGTCCGCTGACCCTCCAATTAAACCCTAGACGCAAAATCCTGAACCAAGCCCTGAGCCCTAAACGTCAATCTCAATCTACACCCGAAACCCTAAACCCTCAACCCTAAGCCTTCAACCCTAAACGCTAAGCCCTGCGACAAGCCTTTTGCGAGGACAAGCTCGGGATAGGCTCGACCAGCGCCCAGGGTATTGCTCTCCACCTGCCCAGATGAGCTATTGTCTAAACTCCTAGTATCCCCCTTAATAAACCCAAGGGTTCAGAGCTAGCCCCTATAATATAGGGTTTGAAGTTTAGGGTTTATGGTCCAAACTCCTAGTATCCCCCTTAATAATCCCAAACCATAGTCCCCTATATTCCCAACACCCATATAACACCCTTTAATGGAGTTTAGACTATAGCCCAGATGGTTTATGATTTTTTTAAGGGTTCTGGGCTTAGGCTTTTTACTTCCAAGGGGAGGTGTAAGGTCGACCTTGGAGTCAGCATAGCGCACATGTCCCTCGATGACGGTTTCTTTCCAAATCCAGGAGAGGAGACTTTCACCACAAGGTGGGCGCATAAGCGGCAGCAGCAGCAGTGTTGTGGGTTCAGAGGTTCCAGGGTATGTTCAAAGATCCCTACATGACTATATAGTCGATGACTATACTCAAGTAGGAAAGAATTCCCTACATGTTGACTTGTTGTAAAAAAAAAACACCATAACCAGCCATGAAATAATGCCTATATGATTATGCCTTAAAGGTCCAAGTACCTAATTATCATATACTTACCCAAACCCCGTACTGTAATTACTATTACCCAAATCCCAGGTACCCAATTATTGGCTACATGGACCCTTTGGGATGGTTGATGACAATCGAGCTTTGTGCATGGTAGCTCGTAGGTCCTTTTTCCAGTATCAACTCAGGCACCAGAAAGGGTGGAGCAGCTTGTGAGCAAGTTTCTGAAAAAGAATTGTTCGCTGCTTCAAGATTTGGGGTATATAGTCCCCCTTAAGTAGATAGAATATGGGGTAGATGGGGATCTTATTCTAGTATACACAAAGCCATATCCTATATACTTAAGGGGGACTAGGATTGGGGGATGGGGAGGGGGGGGAGTTTGTCGTGGTGCAGTGTCCGGTCGCTATGTAGGATGATCATCACTTTAGGCGAGTATTTGATGCTCTTCGTGCAGCTACTGCTAGAGTTCCCGGCGCATTGAGCTATCGTCTCCCTCAGCCTCTTCTTAGACAGATAGCAATCGCGCACAGAAAGCTTCACAAGATCAGTCTTCGTTCTGACGAGACTGCCCAAAACTTGTACATCTCTCTGTAGCACATTCTATGGACTCTGGCCACCTTTTCCTAGTAGTGAAAAGGTAAAGCAACAAGTCCGATGTAAAACGCATATTTCATGTGTATACATGTATACATACGGCATATGCATGGGCAATACTTATTGCTCGGGCTGGGGGTGGCCTTTGAAGATGCGATCAGAATCCATATCGGTAACGCTGTCATTCAAGCTTTCTGGTCTGAAGTACCCCAACGGGGATAACCCTCCTCAAATGAGGGCCACGATGTTTGGAAGCCGTCAGTTGCAGGCGTAGCCCGAAAACCTAAATTCCCCAAACCCTAAACCCAGCGCTAGACCTGGACAGGGCATCCCGCCATGAGTGTATTATGTACATGCGGACACGGCTTAAGGGACCGGTGGTATAGCAGGAACCAAACAAGAGGACCTGTACAACGCTGGCTCAAGGAAATTCCTCCAGTAGATTTTGAGATGATCAGGCTTTAAGCTCTAATCCCCAAACCCAGCAGCAACTCCACTTGCAGGGCCACCGGGGGCGGGGGGGGTTACAGGGCCTACATGGGTTGTAAGTGTACTTACTTCAAATGCTCCTGACCCCATAACAAATGTAGGGCAAAGAGACCCCCAATGGTCGGACCGCCCCTGGTGTCTCAGCTTCGGACACAGGCCCGTCCGTGTGGATGGAAATGCGCCCAGCCGTCCTCAGCTTGAAGTCAAGCGATGTGGGAGCTTCGGATGTAGGGTTTAGAGTTTAGGGATTTAAGGTTTAGGGTTTACGGTCTTCTGAGAAACTGAAGCCTTTGGTGACCCTTGGGATTATGAGTGTACTTCTTGTGGATGATTTAAGGACTCTGCTGTGAACCTTCCACGCAGGAATTTGTATCCTCACCCGAGTTATCATGGAACCCCTAATATATAGGGGTCTAAAAAAACAAATCACACCCCAAAACTCTAAACCCTAAACCCTTAAACCCCAAATCCTACAGAAAACCCTAAGAAGCTGCTGCCTGCTTTCTGCAGCCCTTGCAGTTGCCTTGTCTCCCTCTCCTTACTAGGAGAGCTGTAATCTAAACTCCTTCAGGGATGTTATACAGGGGATCATATAGGATTCCTAGTCTAAGGCGTATTAAGGGGATACTGGGAGTTTGGACTACAGCTCATGTAAAGAAGATAAGAATGATAGCAACAACAGGTTGATGTGATTCCTGTTGTTGTTTGTGGTGCACGTTGGCGTAACATCACAGGTGCCAACACAGAACATGAGAAGCCCATACCTAAATCCACCCTAAACCCTAAACCCTAAATAGTAGCTTTCACTTTATTTTCCATTATCCCTGTATACCCGAAATATTACCCCAATATACTATAGTAGTTTCCGAGTTATTTTCCATTATCCCAATGTAGCCCCAGTTTTACCCCCAATATACTATAATAGTTTCCGTTTTATTTTCCATTATCCCAATATAACCACAATCTTACCACAATATACAAAAGTAGTTTCCCAGAAATGCTTGAAACGACCCCACGGCAGGAGGACCCGCCATAGGGTCAGGACAGGTCCCCCAAATGCTTGCGAGCTACCCCTAAGCTCTAAACCCAAACCCTAAGCCC